CTCACACTCAGCCCTGGCTCTCACACTCACCAGTGGGAGCTGCAGTCTAACAGAAAGTCCTCAAGTTCTCCTACTATGCCAGTTCCCAGCTGTGGATTTTGTGCATGCTTGAACCCAGCCTGGTATGGCCTGACTACTGTCTCAGCTCTTTCTGGCAGGTGTTGCAGCCTAGCCCAGCTGGGTGTGGCTCACACCCTGTGCTGGCTTTTGTGCATGCTAGCAGGAGCTACAACTTAGCCCAACCCAGTCTTCCCCCCCCCAGATACTGCCAACACTAATGCTGAAGAGTCCTGTAGCTTTGCCTGACCTGGTCCGCCCCCTGCTCTCACATGAGCTGCAGCCTAGCAGGGGAGTTCCCCAAGTTCCTCAAGTTAACCTACCAGATCTGCTCCCAACCCTGGGTCTCATGCATGCTGCTGCCCTTTTTGTCATGGTTTGCCCTCACTCCTGGCTTTTGAATGTGCCAGTGGATGCTGCAGCCTGGCTCAGCCCAGCCCCCTCCCAGCCCTGGCTCTTGCAAGTGTCAGGTGAGTTCCATGGTTCAGCCTAGCTCAGCCTGTCACCACCCCTAGCTCTCTGTGCCAAGTGATGGGTGCTGCAGTCTCAGAGGTTTTCCCAGGAGTCTTCTACAGAATCTGCCGCCAGGTCTTGTGGGTGCTGTAGCCCAGGCTGACAGCTCATCACCTGCTCTGACACTTGATGCTTGTGACAGGTGCTGCAGCCCAGCCCAGCCAGGCATACCCCAACCCCAGCTTTTGTGTGTGCCAATGGGGCAGTGGGTGGTGCTGCTTAGCCCAACCAGCTCAGTTCTTCCACGTAGGCATCTTTTGTATTTCCAGATGAATTCTATCTTCTTTGCAGTTTTTGAGAAGAATGTTGTTGGAATTTTTATTGGAATTGCATTGAATCTGTGTATTGCTTTGGTAATATGGACATTTTTGATGATGTGGATCCTGCTGATCCATGAGCTGAACCAATCCAGAGACAGAAGCCAAGAGCTTCTTCCCTGCACATGGGTGCAGGGGTCCAAAGACTTAAAACCATCCTCTACTGCTTTCCCAGGCTATAAACAGGGAACTGGATCAGAAGTTGAGTAGCTCAGATGTGAACTGGCTCCCATATGGGATACATGTGGAGTTCAGCCTAATATTCCAGAGCGCTGGTTCCATGCCCCACCTTCCAAAGCAGGGGTGGGGGAATATCTGGTTATGGGCTCAGTAAGACATGAGTAATCATTTAGTCTTGTACCACCAAGCCAATTGCAGGTAAGATTCAAAGTTCAGGATCTAGCACAGTAGTCTAACAGCTAAAGTCCTCACCTTGCATGTGCGGGGATCCCATATGGGCACTGGTTTTAATTCCAGTGGCTCCACTTCCCATCCAGCTCCCTGCTTGTGGCCTGAAAAAGCAGTCGAGTATGGCCAAAGCCTTGGGACCCTGCACCCCTGTGTTAGGCCCAGAAGAGGCTACTGGCTCCTGGTTTTGGATCGGCTCAGCTCTGGCCATTGCGGCCACTTGGGGAATGAATCATCGGATGGAAAATCTTCCTCTCTGTTTCTCCTCCTCTCTGTATACTGACTTTCCAAGGAAAATAAAATAAATATTTTTTTAAAAAAAGATTGAAAAGTCAATAAATCTATAGCGAATTAACTTATGAGTTGATAATTTTGTATGGCTTAGGAATGATTATATAAATATCCAAATGGCCCTTGGCAGATAAAAGATTCCACAACCCTCTTCTTTCCAGTGGTGTTATCCTTGAAACCAATGGTTGAAGCTTTGAGGAACATTCAACGTCCAAATAACCAAGACACAGCAAGGAAGAATAAGTCAGTTGCCCCAGGTGAAACAGATAGAAAAGGGCAGAGCTTGGATTTGAATTTAGGCTGGTGGGATCTTACATGTAGCCATGGCATGCTGAGGGGACAGTGAATTTTGCTTGGAACATGAAGGCATTCGGAAATGATTTCAAACTGTGGATATTTATCCTGGGTCTTGAGAGGATGCATTAGACATTGTCAAATGATGGTTAAGAAAAATGTCATAAGATCAAAAGCAAATGTTGATCATAGAAGCATAAAAATTTACATTTTGTGTTGAGAATTTGCCTTGGTTCATTTTTTGTTTCTGAAATAAAGTATCTCGAGGCTGGTTAGTTTGTAAATAGGAGTTTTGACTAATTATTCTGGTGACTGGAGCAACAGCTTCCTGACACGGATTCCCTGAAATGTGGAAAGCAAATGGCTCCATGAAGAGGGAGCCAGGGATAACAACCCGCTCTGAAGGGAACTGATTCCCTGTAGGAGATATCACCTACTCCAAAAGACAGCATTGAGTAATTCATGAGGTGGAGTCCTTGCAACTTCTCCGCCTAAAGCTTTTACCAACTCAGCACTACTACATTGGGGATCAAGTTGCCAGCATTTCAAGCACTGGGGGCAGATCAGCACAGAATGTCAAGTAGTTCAGGATAGCTAGGTCATAAATGTAACAGGAAATAAAATGATGACTGAGTGCTTGGACACCTGCTGCCCACATGGGAGACCTGGGTGGAGTTTTTGGCTCTTAGGTTTAACTGCCCAGCCCTAAGGTAGGCATTTAGGGAGTAAAACAGCAGATGTAGGAGCTGCCTGAATTTCCTTGTCATTCTGCCTTTCAAATGGATGAAAAATATTTTTTAAAGGAAAATTCAAAATAGTGATAGTGTTAATGCATGTCAGTGAACAGAAGGGTAACAGGAGCACATTTAAACAGTTTTGAGTATGTTGGGTTTAAAGTATCTAACTTTATGGGTGGATTTCTAATTTAGTTTTGTCTTGATGTTGTTGAGTCTGGCATGATATTCCTTAGTCTGTTTTTCTGGAGCATTTGTCATATACTCTTTTAGGTACATCCTATTTCAAAATAACTGCTAGAGTTGTTAGTTTTAGCATGTTTGGAGAAAGTACACTTTATTCATAAATTATATATTCTTAAGATGGGAGGGGCAAGGCTTTCATGTACATTCAGGTCTGGCATAAAGAGAACTGACAGCTTTGAGGAATTTTATGTTTAATTTGTTTGAACAACTGATATGTACTTCTGAAATCTTACAACCTATGAGTATCTCTGATGTTTTTCTTTTTTGCTGTAGAGGAAAGAAGAACATTCATAATCTTAAAATTGTGTGTGTGGGCATATGTCATTACATGTATATATAAATGCATATATTTGTACATACATGAATGTATGTTACACTCTTAGCTTAGCTTGAATTACTTTATGTTTTCCTGTTAAAAAGGGATCATGCTTTGAAGAAGTCAAGGCAGGAAGTACAGGATAACAACAGTGAAGTGGCAATTTAGATCAATGTTGGTTTTTATCAGTTTGCTCTTCTCTACATTACATTTAGAGGAGAAATATAAGCTAGATTTCAGTGTTCCAGTAAGCTTTAAACTAAACACATTTCTGTACTTGTCTGTAATATTTTATCACTAACAATATAATGAAGAACATGTTAAGCTGTTTGAAACATGGGTGTTATATCCAAGTATCTTTTGCTCACAAGTGATCATTTTTTTATTATCAGAAATCCATCAGTAATTTTTAAATGCATTAAAAAGTAAAGTTTTAAAAGTGTCTGAGATAAAACTCTATAAAAATATTCTGAGTGCTGAGAATATTTTCCTCAGTTCAGAATTTTCTTTGGGATTTTATGCTTCTTTTAGATCTAAAAAGATTGGTGGTGGGTGTATGCCATCTGCCAATATAACCACTGCCTGTTTGGGACTGGATTGAGGCCAGTCTGGAAGGAGCTGTTGCTTTCATCCAGGAACTGCCAATGCCTGTGCTAGGGTGGAGGCCAGGATGGGAGCAAGATGTGCCTGCTGCAAGCAGGTTGCACCTTGCGGTGTCGGTTCCTCATTGTGTTGTGGGGACGGTCATACCTGTCTCCTGGGATTGCAGTGAGCATGCATCTTTTGAGCATGAAATGTATCATTAGGATTATTTCCTTTCCCACGTGCTCTTCTACTTCAATAACTTTATTCATATGGTTATTACACGTACTGATGAAGTACTGGAGGTGAAAAAACTGGAAACTCAGAAACTAGGAGCAAGTGTTTTCTATTACCTTTGCTGTTCCCCAGCTTTGCCCCAGATCTCAATTTAGGACAACATACAAGGGCCCTGTCTACTTTGATAGCCTCATGTCCTCATGATGCTTTTTAAAATTGTGTGTCCTGGAACAGTTATGACCCTCTTCCTCATGGTGTTGAATAATCTCAGCAGTAAATCAATTCCTATATTGTCCAGAATGTTCTTTCCCGCATTAGACGTAATGTAAACACTAATGGTCCTTTATTTCTGCCTTTGGCGATCATTTTTTCTGACATCCCTTGTGGATTTGACCATCCTTTCCATCATGGCCTTGCTGCTCCCTGTCGTAGTACTTTGTATTTCTACTTAAGTTGCCCTCTACACATAGAGCACTTGCCATCACATGGCAAAGATTAGTTAGTTATGTATGTTTGTATATTTTCTCTTAGAAAAGTGCTAGTTATGTGTTATTTAATTGGTAAATACTCAGTTTTCCTTTAGAACTCAGCATTCACAAAAAAATTTAATGTGTTTGAATTCAGTAAAATGAGAAAGAAGACTATTAGATCTTGAAGTTGTATTTTATCAAATTGTAAAATATATTCCAGAATATTTTAGCTTCCCTTTTTTAATATTTGTAGAATATATTGATTTCTATGAATAGTTTTAAAGTGTTGGAAAATTCATCTTTTTTCCTAAGTGTATTATTTCCTGTGTCTTTTTAATTTTAGTTATAGAATACTATTATGATAATTCTAATGTCCAATGTAATGAAAATTAACTAGGATATTTGCTATCTAGTAACATCTTTTAATAATCCTTTTTGGCAGCATTTTCAGTGAGTTTTCTTTTTTGGTGGGGGGTAATGTTTAAGTCAGAAAGTCCTGAACAATCAGTAACAGTGAATTTGATTTTGATTTTAGCAAAAGCATCTGGAAATTGAAAGAACTGCCAAATGGCTGAAAATGCTAAAGGGATGGGAAAAATACAAGAACACTGAAAAGGTAATTTATAGTAACGTTATTTCTCTATGAAACAAAATAAATTCCTTGCATATTTTCCCAGTGAAAGTTTTTCTTTAATTATAGCACTGTTTTATTTACATTTGTTTAAATTTTTATTTAATTTAGCAGAATACCTTGAATTAGGAACCTTTAAGTCGTAAATAACTAAGAGTTCAGATTGCTTTAGAACATGTAGGAGACGTTATCGGATGGCCCAGAAGTAGGATGGAATTCAGTAGTGATTTAATTCAGCAGCTCTTTTGTGCTGCCTGTGATTTAGTTCCTTCCAGCTCTCCTCTGAATTCCTGCAGTATCAACTTGGTCTTGAGGTCAGTGTGTCTCCCTTTGAGGTCAAAAACCATAGGAGCAGTTCCACGCTTCCTACCTAAATGTTACACTGCTTAGAAAGAGGCAGGGCTGGCCTCAGAACACTTTCTCTGAAGCAGAAGCAAAGTCCAAGAGTTTCTAGAGGGCTTTCTTCTATTTCAGTCTTTTTGGTCTGCACTTGAGTTGTGCTAAGATTTGGCTTACCAATTAAAGAAAACTGGGCCCGGCGCAAGTGGTTAAGGTCCTCGCCTTGCACGTCTGGGATCCCATATGGGCGCCGGTTCTAATCCCGGCAGCCCCACTTCCCTTCCAGCTCCCTGCCTGTGGCCCGGGAAAGCAGCAGAGGACGGCCCAAGGCTTTGGGACCCTGCACCCACGTGGGAGACCCAGAAAAGGCTCCTGGCTTCGGATTGGCATAGCATCGGCCGTTGCGCTCACTTGGGGAGTGAATCATCGGACGGAAGATCTTCCTCTCTGTCTCTCCTCTGTGTATATCCGCCTTTCCAATAAAAAAATAATAAAAATAAATCTTAAAAAAAAAAAAACTGTCCGCATCCATTGTTATCACCACCAGTCTCATCCTAAAAACATCTTTAGTAGGAAAATGAAACTTCTAGCAGAAATTTTCCAAATTTCTGTTTATTTTTGCTTAAAAGATCATGTTATCAGTGGCAGTAATTATTGTGTCAGTTATTTCCTTGAAGTGCCAGGAATCACTTTGCTTAATTTTGAAAAGATGCCTGCTAAATACTTCCCAGATCAGACCATGGAAGGCTAGTCAGTTGCTGTTTAAGGTAATAGCAGTGTTACACTGGCAGGAGGGGAACCAGTTTTAAGAGAATGGTTCGCACTGCATCATAAGTTCTTTTTCTTGGACACCACCATGTTTTGGGATGCAACATGAGCTGCTTACACATTCTGTCTTGCCACTCCTTGTGGGTTGAATTTTAATAAGAAGTAATACCTTTACTGCTTTACCCAGGGAATTCTTAAATGAAACTAACTTTTTTTTAAAGTATATGAAAAAAATATAATGATTCTTAAGTACAGTGCAGCTGCCGCTTTGATTTGTGTCAACATGTATAAGTTTTATTACCACTGATTTTCTGTTAAGTGCAAAAGTCAGCAACAGTAAAGATAAGAACTGGTGTATTCTTATCACAAAAATAATTTTGACTTCAAGAACTGTACTTTGAGAACCATTGGCATCTAAACATCAATGTCTTTATCTGAAACGAGCTGATAGTGCCCGTTTCAAATGTTGGCACTTTAATGGTTTAATGCATATGGAGCACTTACATCAAACCCTGCCTTTTCAAAGCATTCAGTGACTGTTAACGCCATGATTCGTTTTGAAGGAAGGTTGTACAATAAAAAATGTTTAAAGAGAGACAGACATCCTCTATAGTCTTATCAAAACACAACTGAATCAACTGTTAGGACTTTCATGTATTTCCTTATACCTTTCCCCTCTGTAATTCTTTTCTCCCTTTTTGTATGGACATAAATCATTGTGTATCAGCATTTGCCAATATAAACTCCAGAGCATGTCAGTTCCTTGAATTCCAGTGGGTTAAACATTGAGGCAATGTAGCCTAATGGTTAAGAGATGCTGGATCCAGACTTTCCTGGGTTCGAACTGCAGCTCTGCACTTACTGGCTGTATGAACTTGAGGAAAGCATTTCACCTTCTGCTTTAGGCTGCTCATCTGCAAAATGGGAATGCAATGTCTACCTCATAGTGTTGTGAGGATTAAGTAATTGCTTTAGTGAAATACATAGAAAGTACCTGAAACTTAATTATGCAGTCAGTAAGTATTGCTTATTATTGAATGAGAAAAGGGCTCTGGTTAAAAAAGATTGGAAAATAAGAGCCAAATCAAATTAAGCAAGATTTCTCTCAAACTATAGGAAGATATTATTCTTTAATAGTTTGCTGTTAGTAGCATAAGGGGTTAATTTAAAAAATATTCATTCAGTTTTATTGCAAAGTCAGATATACAGAGAAAAGGAAAGACAGACATTCAGATCTTCCATCTGTTGATTCACTACCCAAGCGGACACAATGGCCACAACTACGCTGATCCAAGGCCAGGAGCCTGGAGTCTCTTCCGAGTCTTCCACACAAATGCAGGGTCCCAAGGCCTTGGCCTCTCCTCACCTGCTTTCCCAGGCCACAAGCAGGGAGCTGGATGGGAAGTGCCCATATGGGATCCAGTCATATTCAAGGCGAGGACTTTAGCAACAATGCTACAGTGCTGGGTCCAAGGAGTTAATTTTTAAAGGGGACCTTAAATTATGTGAAGCTTACTTATCTGTGGATATATCTTGTCTGGGTGTACCTTGCAGGGCAAATGTCATTGTTCATTTTGAGCGTATTAAGTATTTTATTTTCATCAAAAGTTCATTTTGGGTTGTTGATTTTGAAACTGTTTAAGCATTAAGTTTAGAACTCGTGATTTTTTAAGAGGAATTAGTTCAAAGGAGAATATTAGTTGTAACACCTTGCTGTTGTTTGATATTATGCTGCCTCTCATATTGGCTTAAAATTGACTGTTATTTTGTCTTATGTCTTTGTGGAAAGATGATGTCTGTTTTTTTTTAAAAAGATTTATTTATTTTTATTGGAAAGTCAGACATACAGAGAGGAGGAGAGACAGAGAGGAAGATCTTCTGCCTGATGGTTCACTCGGCTGCAACGGCTGGAGCTGAACTGGTCCAAAGCCAGGAGCCAAGAGCTCTTCCAGGTCTCCCACATGGGTGCAGGGTCCCAAGGCTTTGGGCCGTCCTTGACTGCTTTCCCAGGCCGCAAGCAGGGAGCTGGCTGGAAAGTGGGGCCACCAGGATTAGAACTGGTGACCATATGGGATCCTGGCGCGTGCAAGTGAGGACTTTAACCATTAGGCTACTGAGCCAGGCCTGTGATGATGTCTTTTCTTAATAGAAATTGATTGGTATTTTTGTCTGATTTGATAGGATTGATGTCATCTGAGAAAAGGACAAAGATTTTCCTGAGGAAATGCTAAGATTTACAAAAGGAAGAAAGAGATTGGAGGAAGGGAGGGATGGATGGAGGGAGAAGTGAAGAAGGAAAAGAGAGAGAAGTGGAGATTGCCAATGATGAACTGACATGTGAAGGTGATGAACATGAGCCTGTCTATTCTAGAGATCATATGAGCAGGAAAATGGGGTTCTGATGGTGCTCCAGATCCTCTACTGGGGACTCCTCTGGCCAAGGCAGCTTTTTGGACATCTTCCTGATATTTTGGAGTAAAGAGAAAAAATATGTATCAGGTAGATTGTGCCAGTAGGGAATGTGTAAATTAAATGTTTAGCACTTAACAAAGAAGTACTAAGGATTCCGCTAGGCCGCATACTAATGTGTTGGGCATTCTTGATGTCTTCCTTTTGATTGTCCCCTTCTGTGTCTAGCTCCATGTTTGCATCTGATAAAGAGATTTTACAGCACTTCAACGAACATATATTAATTCACTTAATTGGAAAGATGAGTCCAAGTTTTGTTCAGTTTGTAACCCCCAGTTTTCTTTATTAAGTTTCACAGGAGAATTTACAAAGGAATCCCACTCCAGCTCAGAGGGGAAGTCTGGGCTCTTCTTCTTGAGATCCCTAAAATGAAAGAAGAAACGAAGGACCTTTACAGTGTGAGTAAATAAAGCCAGCTTGTTACTGCCAAGTTAAAAAGTAAAATCTGCTTCTGTCAGCTTTCAAGGTAGAGTAGGCTGTTTTTATCCTAACTTAAAAATTCCTGCTTCTGCAGTGGGAGTATTTAATGTGTTTGTTGGCCTGTTAATGATATGAAAGTTATTCAGATATGTTTGTTACAATTATTGCATTTAATACTAAAACATTTGAAAGATACTTTGTTTTTGTCATGGCATAAAAAAATAAATTTGGGCAAACATCTAAAATAATTTATACTAACACTGTTTTGTGTAATGGAGGCCTGTTGGTTTTATGAATGACAATCTATTTGTCAAGCAAATATCTTAAAAATTTTTGATGTCTGTATGATTTAATTCATAAATATGATGCTTTTCCTATCTGTAAATGATTAGATAAAGTACTTAAAATGATTGATCAATGTTGAACCATGTTTGTGAGGGAAAATTTGTTAACATTTTAAGTGTTTGCAAGGATAGGCAAATATATGCAGAGAGAGAAGAGAGAACTGCTATCTACTGGCTCACATATCTCCGATATAGCTGAGGTTGGGCCTGACCAAACCTTGAAGCTGAGAACCCAGTCCAAGTATCACCCCATGTGAGTGACTGAGTTCCTGTCACTTGGACTACCGCTGCTGCCTCCCAGGATCTGCAATAGCAGGAAGCTGAGTTAGGAGATAGCACGTGTGTTAAACCCTGGCACTCTGATATGGAATGTGGGTATTTTAAGCATTAACTCAACTACCTTCCCTTTTCCAAACCTAAATTTTATGTTAACCTTTGAATGGAGTAAGTTTATTATCTAAGAATCTTTGACCCATAGATACTGAATTATGTTCCTTAAATGATAAGACACCAAAATGAAATAAATTATCAAAAAGGAAGATTATTTATAGTTTAAATCCAGGCTGAAGTTGGGAGTTGAGAACTCAATCAGTTGAACTTGAAATTCCATTTATAAGAAACAAAACTTTTAAAAATATATTTATTTGTCCAAAATTCAAAGAGCGAGTCATCCATCCACTGGCTCATTCTCCAGCACTGGACTAGACCAGAACCAAGAGCCAGGAGCTCCATCTGGATCTCTTGTGCTGGTTGCAGGAGCCCAAACACCCGGACCATTCTTGAGTGCCCAACCAGGTCACCAGTAGGGAACCAGATTGAGAGATGGTTCATACTTATGAAAGATAGTATGGTAAGTCAATGTATGCATAGTAGTCGACGTAACCAGCATTTTTGTCTCCTTAAATGTCACTTTGAGTGTGTTAGGAACCTTCAAACTCCTTTCTTTTAATTCTTTATAAGACATATAATAAGTAATTGTAAAGGCCAGTTACCCTGTTGTGCTGTAGCACTGTTGAGCTTTTTTCTGCAGACTGTGGCTGCATTTTGGTTCTTGTTTTCTAGCCTCCCTTAATTCTCCTTTCCCCTGTACTTTCTAGGATCTATTTCTATGAAATTAGCATTTGTTAGCTTCTATAGATGAGCAAGAACATGCAATATTTGTCTTTTTTATGGTTGTCTAATTTTACTTGGTTTTGGTGTTCTTTGGCTATTTTTCTTTTTTGAATATTCATATATGTGTATTACATAGTCAATACATATATATACCTGTATATCTTTAGATAGGATTTCATCGGCGTGAAAGGTTAGCTGCCTTCCTTAGCTCACAGCTGCACCACTGTGCACCATTTTTACCTCTTTTGTCACATATTTTTCTCTCTGTGTCTCTTATGTTTCCTGATGAGAGAATGCTAGTCATTGATTTTAGGGTCACCTAATCCAATTTGACTTGACCTTAAATTGATCACATTTGCAGAAAATTTTCAATGGGTCATACTGACAGGTTCTAGATTCACAGGAATTTTGGAAAAATACTATTCAATCCAGTATACCTCAATAACATGGTAATTTTCAGTTATATTTAAAGATTTTTTCCCACATGCAATAGAGTTATCCAAAAACCAGTTAATATGAGAGAACCTTCAAATAAAAATCTGTAACAAAAACAAATGGCCCATACTTTCAAGCACATAATTTTGAGCACATCACAGATGTTTTTACTGTGTGATTTTCTCCCAACATTATTGTTTAACCACATCTTTCTTTTCAGACCACTCTTTCTTATTGTCCTTGCACAGAAGTGGTATACTCTGCTGTCCACACATCCTCTACCAACTGGGACTTCAACTTGGAGTAAAACCACCTGTCATGTTTCTCAGAGTCTGGTATATTAGGAGCACTCAATCTTTGAAGTTCCCCTGATGATATGTTTATCCTTTTATGAAGTCAAGCTCTGAATGTGGTGCTGTGGCACATACTGAGAGGAACAGACACAATGTTGAGAAACTTCTCTTTTCAGGAAACATGATTGTGTAGGAGATTTAGTACTGGTTACTATGGATAAATACTCCAAAATTAGTAAAATAAAACACTTGGCTGTGTTGGAAAGAGGGAAGAAATCATTTTGTGGTTCATGATGACTTCATGGAATAGGTGGTGTTTGAGCGGGGGCTTTGTTTCCAGAGGAAGGAGAAGCGGGATGTGTTTTCAAGGCACATTGTGAAGACCTCTCCTGATCCTTTGCTTTAATCTGGAGAGGATGAGTTTTCTTCTGGAGCATCATATTATTGTGTTTTAAAGATGGAGTATATGCTGTATTTGCCTTGAGGAGAGCTCAGTGTTTTTGTGTGAGAGTGAGTGAATAGGGGGCATTATGTAAGTGCTCTGTATGAACTACCTCATTGAATTCTTATCATAATGCCAAGATGCATGTGTTACTGCTATTTTCATTTTACAGATGAGAAAGTTGAATTTAGGGAAGTTTGGGAGGATAAGTGACTTTTTATCCCATGGTTAGCAGCAGAATTTAAAATCTAGGCTACTCTAGTCACTAAACCAATTTTCTTATCCACTAGTTGTTGTTTTTTTTTTTTTTTTACTTTTAATTGTGTCTCATTTTTATCATTTTTGTCTCTCATGTGGCTGGTAGCATAGCTATCCTATGGAGAGGATCCATCCGTAGAAAATAACCATCTTCAGACTTTGCTCGGCTCAGGAATCTTGTATGCCAAATCTGTGGTGATTCTGCTAATTTTCTAGGACCTTTCCACTGTACTTCTGGGTGAAGCAAAGGACTTCAGACTAGGGGAACACAGACATTGCTGAAAGTGAGGTGGGGTGCCTGTCACAAAAGTGGAAGAGTGGAATATATGGAATTGTGGACATTCCAGCCTTTTCCTTCAACATTGTTCCCAGAACATTGGCAGCTAGATGCCTTTTCTTTTTGACAGGAAGCTAGAAGAGTCTTCTCTGGAGAACATGATTAGTGTAAGGAAATCAATCCAAAGATACCGACTACAAGGGACCCAGTGTCCAGGATGGATGGATCACTCCACAGTGAAGACTACAGTATTGAAGGCTCACCCAGGCACTCAGCTTTTTAGCATCTGATTTTTAAGTAAAAGTTAATAGCAAAGTATTACTGTATATTGAGGGAAAAAGGGCTAATGTGAATGACAAATGAAATGAATAGGAAAAAACAACTTGTGACAGACCATAAAACAAGGAGAACTGTTAATAATATGTTCACAGAAAAAAATAGATGCTGTAGCCACGAAATAAATACAGGATGCTGTTAAAAGGAACATTAGAGAACATCAGGATCTTATGGGTATTTATAGCAGTGGGAAATGAAAGGTAAATGAAAAACTTAATTGAAAAAAAAATATTGGCAGTTTCAAAACATAAATTATAAAAGCAAAAAGCAGAAAATGATATAAGAATAATAGGTAACAGGAGATCTCACATTGTAAAGATCAGGATTCTCTAAAGATAAAATAGGAGAGGAGAATGAGGAAACCCACAAAAGAATGATTAAAGAAAGTTTCTCAGACCTGAGAGATGTGAATGTTGGGTTTTTAAGATGGGAAGAATCCATCAAATTCCCAACTTTGTGGATATCATTTCACAACAGGAGCTGCTGGAGAGTGTGTTCCTCCAGAACAAGGGAATAAAGAAACAAAAAAGGAGATGAGATTTAGACAGCAGGGGGCTTCACAATAGAACAGCAAAGAGAAGACCCCACAGATGGTGGAGGGAGATCTCACAACCCAATAGGTGCACCAGGCCTGAAGGTCAGGCTGCCCAGATGCAAGTAGTTCACACCGCTCTGGGAGAGAGGTCTGGAGGGAAATTAAACTGGCAGAGTTCCTGTTCTGCTGGGACGACAGAGGAGGTTGATACCAGTTACACTGATTTGGAATTAAATATGGTGGGGGGAAAACAAAAAAGGCAGTGATTAGCTCCAAAGAAAATTAAAAAGTCACATTGGAATAGATGAAAAATCACAGTAGTTTGCATGGATTGACCACAAAGAACTTTCACATAATAGTGAAAACTTTGGGAAGTTGGTTATCCTAAATTAAAATCTTGTATTGACAGGATGCTGGGGAAAGAGGGTAGGGGAAGAATGAAAGAATTGGAGTAGCATGGATGGAGCCCTAAGTAGGAGAGGAGGTTTTCTTTGTCTGCCTTTTTATATTTGATTTTTTTTAAAACCATGGGAATGGTTTCCAAGACCAAAAAACAAAACAAAACAAACAAAACAAAAAACACATGTAATTGAAAATTATTTTACTATTTGTCAAAAAATTTTTAACAAGTGATTTCTATAAAAATGTGCTTTTTCCCCCTGTTTTTCTTCTTCAGAAATTAAAACACAGAGCTCGGGGTTGTTCACCTGATATCAGACAAATAGACCTTGATGTCAACCGCACGTTTAGGGACCATATTATGTTTAGAGACAGATATGGTGTTAAGTAAGTAAAGTTTAATATTATGAAATGTAAATGGCATTTATAATTAATCTTCATCAACTTCTTTTTTAGATTAAAATGTATTTAGAGGTTCTTATAGAGACTTTAGCTTTGATTCAAATCCTTAGAAATTTAAACTTTTACAGATCAATTAGTACGTGAAACTTAGAATCTGATTTGACTTATATTGTTTAACCTTTGATATAGTGCTATACAATTGATAAAGAATCATTTTACTATCTTAAAATTGTTAGAAATGTAGATATTTTTATTAGATTAAAAAATGATCAACTATGTGAATGATAAATATATACCTGTAAAATTGGCCCTATTCATAAATAAAACAAAAAAGAGAGAGAAATGAGTGGAATGAAATGAAAATGGGTGAAATATAGCTAACAGAGCAATAATTGTACTACATACTTGCTGTGACAGTGTGTGAGTGGAAGGTGTAGTTTTGCTGAACTTTATGTCTGGCAGGGTCCTACTGGTGAAACAGAAGCCACCAGGAAGGCTATAGCCATAGAAGGATTGCACATATGGCTTGTGTCCTTGTATGGGTTGACTAGGAAAACGCAGAATCCATAGAACAGTCCATCAGGAAGACTACATTTCTTTTCTTTCTTTGTAGAAAATTGATGTATTTATTTGACAAGCAGAGTTGCAGAAAAAAAGAGATTGAGGCAGAGATAGAGGTCTTCCATATACTAGTTAACTCACCAAATGCTGCAGTGCTTGTGACTGAACCAGGTTGGAGCCAGGAGTCAGGAGCTTCTTTCAGCTTTCCCAAGTGGGTCCAGGGTCCCAAGCTCTTGAGCAATCCTCTGTTGCTTTCTTGAGCCATTCCAGGGAGCTAGATTGGAAATGTAGCAGCATGAACTCAAACTGAAATGCATATGGAATACCAACACTTCTGGTAGCAACTTAACTTGCTACATACACCACAGTGTCATTCCAGGCTATAACTCTTGAGCACAAGCTGAAACTGCTTCTGTAGGCAGATTTTTTGGAAAAAAAAATATTTTTTTATTTTTATTTAAGGCAGAGGAAGGTAGGCAGACAGAATTACCATTTTTAGGTTTGTCCCCCAATTGCCTGCAATGACTGGGGCTGAAGCTAAGAGTTGCAAACATAATCTGAATCTCTGTGTGTGGCAGGAATCCAACTACCTGAGCCATTACCACTATTTCCAGGGTCAGTATTGTCAGGAAGCCAGAAGAAAAGCAAGAGTTGGGAACTGAACCCCGGTATTTCGATGAGGAATGTGATATCTTAACTGTTAGGTTGGGTACTCTCAGAGACAGGAATTTTTCAAAGAAGCCTGAGATTGCCTTTGTGGTCATTTAGTTGAATCAATCCCACATATATTATTTAGGATTGTCCCAAATTAAAATCAGTGGTTTGTGGAGGTTAATGACTTGGCATAGTGAACTAAACTTCTGCCTTCAGTGCTGGCATCTTTTATGGGTGCTGGTTTGAGTCCCTGCTGCTCCACTTGTGATCCAGCTTCTGCCCACGGCAGACTTGAAAGCAGTGAAGGATGGCTCAAGCGTTTGGATCCCTGCACCAACCAGGGAAATGTGGAGGAAGCTCCTGACTCCCTGGCTTTGGACCAGCCCAACTCCTGCTGTTATGTCCATTTGGGGAATGCATCAGTGGATTGAGGATCTCTGTCTCTCTCTCTCCCTTTTTGTAATCCTGCCTTTTAAAAGAAAATAAATTTTTAAAAAATAAATTCTTTATGGATTTTAACCAATTTGCAAAATACTTTGACAGTAACACTTAGATCAGTGTTTGAATAATGAATAAGTAGTAACCTAGACAAGCTGGCACACAGGGCCAACCATTACAGTCCACCCTTGTCAACTTTGTACTTACATAGCTGTCCTTCAACTATTCCTGATTTTCGGAGTCATACTTCTACCACAAGTGAAATACTGTTACATACAACAAAATGTATTAATCCATTTGTCACAAGAAGATCCCAAGTCCCTTGGGTTATATTTATACTTCTGCTTTGTTAAACTTAAATACCATGATACACTGTTAACTGCTACTAATGTACTTTGTTATAATAAAGAAAAGAGAAGGAAGAAAAAATTAACATGCATGTTTATGCAAATATATTTATACCAAAATAAGAAGTACATGTAACAATTAGTCATTTCTATGGCTGGTCATTGGTTACAATTGTCTTCTTCCACTGCCCATTCCATATTTTCTTTGCCCTTAGCAAGTATTTCAGCTGGCTGCAGTTTCTTATCTTATGAACCATTAGTCCTGCCTGAATTGAGCTGTAATTTTCTCTGACTTTAATCTTAGTGCTTGGTAATATTAAGAGATGCCCAAATGTTCTCCTAGAATTGAGACATAATCTTCCTCTGTCTACTGTGTTGCAGCAACCATTTTCTCCTTGGCAGTCAGGGTCTATCTCCTAGCCAGCCCAGTTGGCATCCTTCATTGCTTGCTGATGCACAGGTTTAAGGAGCCCAGAGTACTGATTTGGCAGTTTCAGTTTCCAGTTCAGTAGAGTCATTGTTAGGCCTCCTGGTGAAAGTATTCTTCCTTTTAGACTAAAGATCTGAGATTATAGTGTTGGGAAGCAAAAACTTTGCTACTGAATCATCAGAGTTAATAGTGTGCTTAGCTGCTCCCATTCCCACCCATTCAGTCCTGGGGTCCCTCCCTCTGTAGGAGGCTGATTTAGAGTTAATCCACTTTACTGGGGAGCCTTGCCCCAGGCCTAGAGGCCATGGCCAATTAGCTGGGCCTATACCTCCATCTTTTAAAAAAAAGATTAATTAATTTTTGTTGTTGTTGGAAAGTCAGATATACAGAGAGGAAGATTTTCTGTTTGCTGGTTCACTCCCCAAGTAGCCACAATATCCAGAGCTGAGCTGATCTGAAACTAGGAGCCTCTTCTGGGTCTCCCACATGGGTGCAGGGTCCCAAGGCTTTGGCCATCCTCTGCTGCTTTCCCAGGCCACAAGCAGGAAGCTGGTTGGGAAATGGAGACACTTGGAGAACCGGATTAGAAAGTTGAATGAAAGTGGGCAACAAATTTAAGAAATTTTGAAATTCTTTGTGATTTCAGTGTAAATTCTGTCAGAATGAACATGATCTAGTCTCACATTTAGATTGTATCCAGTATTGTTATGATTTGAGCTGGGAGTAATTGCCATGTGACACCAGTAATTTTACCTGAATTAGTTGTTTTCAATTAACCTGTTTATTTTTGTAAATGTATCATTTTACATGAATGTGGAACTGTGTTTAATGTAAATTCTCTTTCTCTAGGCAACAATCTCTATTTCATGTCCTTGCTGCATACTCTATTTATAATACGGTAAGTTGAGGCAAGCTGTCATAGTCCTGGGGTTCATGCTGCTAGGGACTGAGAGTGTTCTTTGGGCACCACAGACCTAGCAAGTCTCCTCCATCTTAGGCCTAGACAGTCTCTACCGTCTCTTTTAGATCTATGATTCTTCTTTTGTGGTCACCCTGCGGTCTCCAAGCAGAGGTGATTTGGAAGTGGGAAAACCTAAATATGACCACAGTGCATCAGTGAATGCCAGACTATTTTTGTTTTGTTGATTGCTTTAATTTTTAAGCAAGTAAGTCTGAGAAAGGGCAGTGTAGAGGAACAGAAAATTGATGGCTAGACATTTACTTGACTCTTGCCAATTTTTCATTCTTCTTTTCTTTCAGTACCAAGTTTTATCTGTTAGGTGAGGTCCATGTAGGATAAATGTGTGCTTATTTGCTATAGGCTCCACATTGTGGAAGAGAAGGCAATTTGGGGAATGACCTAATATGTGTGTAAAATAAACACTTGTTGACTTGATGGTTTCAAGGGAAAATAGCCTTCGAACCTTCAAATGTATAGTTTTAAGTTTTTAATTATAGTAGAAATGAAATCAGCATACAAGAGAGTTATTTGTACTGGCATATTTATTGCAGCTCAGTTCACAGTAGCTAAGATAGGGAATCAACCAGATGTCCATCAGTGGATTACTGGATAAAGAAAGTGTGGTATATATGTGCTATGGAATACTACGCAACTGCATAAGATGAATTAAATCCTGTCATTCACAGCAAAATGGATATAGCTGGAAACCATTATGCATAGTGAATCTTAGTAAATCTTTAGGAGCAAGATTGACAATTCAAGAATTGATGATGGTTCACAGTCTTTGTCTGTACTGTTGAGGGATCAGTATGGTTTTTTTTTTTTAATTCTCTATTTTGTAGCTGTTTAATTCTTTATCTAATGAAGTATTAAACCTGTGTTTGAGAAAGAAACTGAAAGTATGACATTCTAAAAATGTTTAAAAAATTAGGAAATAGGGTGGGAAATATTACTGTGCTCCTAAACTATATTGTAAAATACATGAAAATCGTTCATTTTATGAGTAAAATGTGAAAAAAAAATCTTTTAAGTTACAAGAACAAAAATGCATCACATGAAGCAGCATTGGAAAGGTGTTTGTGACAAGGACTTGATAGAAATGCAGCACTGTCTGGGCCTCACGGAAATTGAGGCTGGTGAGAAGCAGTTGATGATAAGGATAGCTACATTTTCTGTCCCCCATCATGGTCCTTATGTCTTTCTCCAGTTATCTCTGGCCACTGCTTATTTCATTGTTTTCTTCTCCAAATTGTTTCCTTTGCATTTTTGCCAGTTTGCTTCATGGCTACAATTGCATCCATAGACTCAGTGTGAATGAGTCTTGTTTTGTTAGTTTTTAACCCCATCTGGTGACATTGGCTGTGCCGACAGTCCACTCTGGATTTGTTCACATATGCTGTAGAACTTACCAGCATCTAAGCAAAATGGTGATAGTGAGTTGAGACTCATAGGTAAAATAAAATAACTATTCGGGTTTTTTAAAGAAAATAACATCATTAATCAGAGGCTGGTAAAATGTGTTTGTGTGTGTATGTGTGTGTTTGGACTTTACCTGTACATTTATTCTTGCACACAGTTTTATTCTTTCATATTATATGGCATAGTGCTGTGAAGATTATCTCCATAATTTCTGGTTAAATAAAATGCCTAGACATTTTTTGTTTTTTATTTAGAGTTAGTATTTTCTATGTGCATATCCATGTAACATGAATTTTAAATCTCCAGTTTCTATTTCTTGTTTGCTTTAGGAAGTCGGGTACTGTCAGGGGATGAGCCAGATCACAGCTCTGCTCCTCATGTATATGAACGAGGAAGATGCCTTCTGGGCCCTAGTCAAACTCTTCTCGGGTCCCAAACACGCCATGCATGGTAAGATACAGTAGGAGACAGAATGTATATGTGTATGTATATTTTGAGGCAAAAATCAGAAATACTTGATAGAGTTAAATAAAATAATCTAAATGTCTCAGGGCTTACTCCGTTAATTAGTATTTGTTACTTATTTTTCTTTATTGAACTTTGTAAACTTTTGATTCATACTGATTTTCATTTGTATTTTCCCCAAAGCATATTATTTTCATTTAACAATTCTTTCATTATTTGTTCTCAGTCAAATGAAACTAATTTAGATTTGAAAGAATTTGTAGGAAATCTTTATTTTGAGGGGAAATGAAAGGTGATTTTTGATTAAAACTTTTAGATAGTCATGCAGTTATTTCAGTGAAGTGTTTACCTCTGGACATTGTGATAATAACTCCTTGTTGAAGTTATTACTTAAGAAAATTAATGTTGATAGTTACTTTTAAATATTAGAAGGAAAGGTGTATAGTAGCTTTATATTTCAAGTGTGAGTTTTAGCTGTGAAAACTTATTCCATTTTAAATAAATGGCAATAGTATGTTTTCTGGATTCTTGATTATTTAGTATTTCAGAACTTCAGTGCTTTCATGATTTCCAAGTTAACATGTTTTTAATAACCTTTTTCTTTGAAAGTATATGTGGTAAACTTTATTTCAGAGAGTTTGGATTTCAGCTTGTCTTGGAAATGAAAGTAGCATTTGCCCATATAATACAAAGTTATTTTCTCAGAGTCATCTACATGATGGTATCACTTTCTAAGGATTTTAACACTAGTTATTCTAAGAACATATTTTAAGCGCTGTTTCAATATTTTTAAAAAGTGTTACCTTCCACAGTCCATCACTTATTAAATTTCACCTCAGTATGTGATTTTTATGGAAGTGTTAGGGTTGTTGGGGCAAGTGGGTGTTTGCTCTTATCTGTCTTTCTTCATGTCCATTGGAAATTATTTTTATAATATTACTTGCTTGATAATGATTTCTGGGCACTATGCATCACATAAATAACTCCAGAAGTAAGAACATGTTGTTATGTTGGGTTATCATCCTGTAGGCAGTATCTTTTTGAAAGGCATCTTGAAGGAAAATAATTCATATCAGTCTTAACTTTGCTGTTCTGTAGAGTAGCGTGGCTGATCTGTTTTGAAGCAGATTCAGATGTTACAGATTAAGTGGTACATGGCTCCATAAAACACAGTCCAATTTTAGAAAATAATCATGTTTTTAAACCGTTGGTAGCTTACCTCAGTAATTATTGTCAGCAGTCTAATAAAGCAATATTAATTCTATCCTATTATTTGTTCTTAAATATACTTAAAGATGTTTGTTTCTTTCGCTAACGAATTTTATAATGAGTTACTTAGAATTTTGTATCATTTATAACTGATGACACCTTTTGAATGTTACAGGGACACAATGGAAAAATGAAAAATGTTGAAGATCTTAGCATCCTTGAAATAGTTGTTACTAAAGTATATTGACTTTTTAGACATATTTATTTATTTAGAAGGCAGAGAAGCAAAGTTTTACACACACACACACACACACACACACACACACACACACACACACACACACCGTCCATCTGACTTACTCCCACACAATGGCCATTGCTGGCCTAGATTGAAGCCAGGATATTCTTCAGTCAAGGTCTGCCACAAGGCAGAAACCCAACACCTGAACCATCTCCTTCCTGCTTCTCCCAGGACTTGAACAGGGAACTGGAACAGAAGTGGAGCAAACAGGACACCAACCAGTGCCCACATGGGACTGCTGGCATTGCAGACAGCAGCTTTACTGGCTGGGTCACAGTACCACTGTCTGCATCAACTTTTTCAAAATCAAGAATCCTTTTAAATTTTTTACAGCTACAGATCTTATCAAATTGACCATGAAAGTGGCACTGATAGAGGAATATAGATTTTTAAAATGAAATCATTTCAGTGGAAAATATTACTAAGGGGGGAACAGGGACTCTGGAGATTTTTATACACACCTTGGGAAACTAAACACTAGTTAAGAAATCAGCCTACCCAGTGAATTGGAAAGCTTTGTGTCCAATGGTATGTTCCTCAGGTTTTGGGAGGAACATCATTTCTTTTCTGGAAAACAGATACTCTTTGAGGTAAAATGAACTCATGAGTGAATTATGTCTGCAAGGTGGAGTTAAAAATACATTTTATTGAGTCTGAAATAAAACTTAGAAACATTAGTAAGCTAATGAAGAACATCATGAGTCTTAAAGATAGCAACAGATAACATAAACATGTCCCTTGAATGCTTTTTTTTAGAAAAATGATCATCTAGTAACACATTTCCAACTCAGATGGGAAATACCAATGTGAAGATGTCATGAAGTTTATCAAGGCTGTCTTTTACAGTGAATTGTATAAATTCTTGAAAGGAACCTTACACATAAAAATAATTATAAAATTCAACCAGTTAAAAATGCAAAATTAGTATTAATTTATCATTTATAATTAGTTGCCTCTTGGAAATCTTAGATTGTATTGTACAGTTCGGGTAAAATGTGATTTGAGATAGTATTGATCACGTAATGCCCATTTGGTTGAGCTCATGTTAAATGTAACTTAGAGAAAAGACAGTGAAGATGATACAAACTTTAGGCACATTATACTAATGAATGTTTGAGTAAACCTGAGAAAAGTAATAAAATATCTGTCATATACCAAAATACCAATAAAATTAAATAATGATTAAAAACAACCTATTAAGAGACTTAGGCATTTGTGATATGGTAGCACAGTTTTGTTTTTGCTTTTTAAAAAGATTTGTTTTGTTTATTTGAAGGCAGAGTTAGAGAAATTGTTTACCTGTTCATTTGCTCCTCAAGTGACTGAAGGTGCTATGGTTGGGCCAGGTCAAATCCAGGAGCCTGGAACTCTGTCCGAGGGTCACAAAGGCTCAAATGCTTGAATCTTTTGCTGCTGCTTTTCAAGTACAGTAACAGAAAGCTGATTTGGATGAGAATCAAGCCAGTGTTTGTGTGGGATGCTGTCATCACTAGTGCACCACAGTGCCAGCCCCAGTTTTGGCTTCTAACATTTGTTTACTTGAAAAGTAGAGTGACAGAGAGTCAATTGGCAGAGGGAGAGAAATCTTCCAGCCACTGGTTTACTCCCCAAATGCCCACATGTGAGCAAGGGCTGGGTGTCAGGAACTCTATTCAGATATCCTATTAGGATGTTATGTGCCTCCTTCCCAGGCACATCAGCCAGGAGCTGGATCCAATACAAAGGAGCCAAAATCAGGTTCTCTGATGAAGAATATTGGCTCCCATCCACTGCACCACAGTGCATACCTTTCCATGTCTTAAAACTACAAATAATATTAAGAGGTTCACTTTTCATTTTTTCTTAGAATCGTAATGTCGCTTTTAGTTCAAATCTATTCTGTCATCCTGAACTAGTCTTACAAATTATAAGAGGTTCTTAGTAAATACTAAGCTAAAAGTTTCATTATCCAAAACCTCTGTGTAGGTTTTTACCTGGTGGGGATGAGAAATATTTCTATAATCATTGGTTGTTTTCTTTTCATTTCAATAGTTACAGATGAAAGAAGTATGTTGTATATTTAAGTCAGAGATTTTTCTTAGTATTCTTTATGAAGTGTTGTGTTTATGTTTGTATTCTAGGCTTTTTTGTCCAAGGTTTTCCTAAACTCTTGAGGTTTCAAGAACATCATGAAAAAATACTGAGTAAATTTCTGTCCAAGCTTAAGCAGCACTTGGTAAGTAGATCTGATGTTGACCCAATACCCATCTACAACAAGACAAGGTTAGAATAATTAAATCCAGTCTTTGGTCCATATCACCTTCTAATTGATGGTAAATTTCATTTACCTTACATCTGTAATTACCAGTTATTTGAAGAAAATTAGATTTAAAAAATATAATGTTGATAGACTTTCAAAGTCCTAACTCAAAGAATCAAACTTTTTCTTTGAAGTAAATAAATATAGACAGTAATATTTGAAGAGGTACATAATTTTTCAGTTACTTTGGAGCTTATTTTATAACACTAAAGTATTTTAAGGGTCATATAAATGTACTGATTTGTATCTAAGTTCGTTATATTAAACAGTTTAATAAGACACATAGTTAATTATAAAATATGAGTATACTTCAAAAAATTCATGGAGAATTGGATTAAAAGATAAGTTTATTGTGATACAAAACGATTTTTTGAAATTCATTAATACAAGAGGTCTTCAGAAAGTTCGTAGAGGGTTGAAAATTGTTGATGGATTTCAAAAGTTTTTGTACCAAAATTTTTCCTTTAAAATTTTTCATTTGTTTGAAAGGCAGAGTTATACAGAGAGGAGAAACAGAGAGATCTTCCATCCTTAGTTCACTCCCCAAATGGTCCCATCAGCTGGGGCTGGTCCACACCAAAGAGGAGCCAGGAGATTCTTCCAGGTATCTCATGTGACTGTCAGGGGCACAAGGACTTGCATCTTGCACTTCTTTCCCAGGGATATTAGCATGGAGCTGGATTGAATGTGAATCAGACAGCAGTGGAACCTGTACCCGTATGAGATGGCAGTGCTGCAGGTGGTGGCTTTAAGCTGCTATGCCACAGTGCTGGCGCCTTACCTATTCTTCCTCTCCCCCTTTTAATTAAAGATTTATTTTATTTATTCAAAAGGCAAAGTGACAAGGAGGGAGACACACAGAAATGTTCCATCTGCTGATGTACTTTCCAACAGCTGCAAAAGCAAGGGCTAGGTCAGGCTGAAACCAGGGATCTGGAACTCTATCCAGGTCTGTGTAAGTGTGATAGGGGCCTAGTATTTCGACAGTCAGTCATCTGCTGTCTTCCAAACACATTAATAGGAGACTGGATCTGACACAAAACCATGGTTGGGCACTAACATCGTAAGGGACAGCTCAAATTCTCCAAGTTTATCTTTTAACTCCACTTTCCCATGAGTTTTTTGAAATACCTTTTTATACTAAAGAAAATCTAAGTTTTGTGTTACTATTCTAATAGAAATTTATTCTTGTAGTGATTTTGAAAACATTTTGGGAGGAAAAGTGAGAAAAAAAATCTCATGAAAAGTATTTGTAATGAGATAATGCATAATCAGTTTTAACAGGATAGGCCTCCTAACATTTAATATTATATTGTAATATGTGTTTACTACAGACCAAAAATTGTGAGATCTCTATTTTTGCAGGATTCTCAAGAAATCTACACAAGTTTTTATACAATGAAATGGTTTTTTCAGTGTTTCCTTGATCGTGTGAGTATTTATTTATAAAACTTGATTATCAGATTGTAAACATAAGGTGAGGTAAAGCTGCTAACCTTGTTTCTATTTTGTTTTTCTTTTACTTATAGACTCCCTTTACTCTAAACCTCAGAATATGGGATATCTACATCTTTGAAGGAGAACGAGTTCTTACTGCTATGTCTTACACGATCTTAAAATTACACAAAAGTAAGAAAAGCTATTTTCTCAGTACCAACATCTAATTCACTGTCTTTTAGTAACGTTTTTTAAAAATTCTTGAAAATCAGTGGTTATTTTTTTAATATTAGATGCTGAATGTGTTGTAGATACCTTTGATTCTTTTATCAGTTTCATTTTCATATTTAAACAAAAGAATGCAGTTTGGTGATTTAATAATATTAGCCTTAGTGGGTGGTTAGTCTCCATTGGGGCCACTAAATCTTTTCGTTAGAGTAGTCTCAAGTAATGGGAGAATGGAGAAACCAAAATAAAAAGGGCTATGGAGAACATTTCTGCTACTGCTTCCTTCAGGATTCAAAGCCTCCAGCTCCAGGGTGTGCTTGGGGAACCTGCAGGTCTGTCCCTGCCAACTGTGTTGTGACCTCTGGCGCAGCTCCAGGCCTTGTCTACAGCTCCAAAGGGCAACAAGGCAGTGGTGGCTTTCGTGTTCACAGCTGAAGGCCTTGGGCTGCAGGTGTGGGGCTTCAAGAACTCTGTGAATTTGATATGCTGTATGTTACCTTAAAAATCCTGGAAGGAGATTTTATTTTCAGAACCATATAGTACCTTCTTCATCTTTCAAGTCTCAATTCAACCTTAAAACTTAGGTGACTCCTCTTGGCATCTGTGTGGCAAAGGGAATCATTGAAAGCTTTACAACTTGGTACTGTTACTTCTAAGCCTCACCACTTGCATATTCCTTATATACTCAGCTAAATTGTAAGCTCATTGAGTGCATGTTGTTTGTAGCTTTTCTCTGTGCATTTTTGGTGTTATAAGTTCATGTTAGTGCTTTAATGTAAGATTGTGTCTATGTTTATTTGAAAAGAATGGACTTCAGAAGGACCAGATTAGGCATACTTTAGGTAGGAATGAAAAAATTCCTCTAAAAACACATGTGTTGTGTATTCTTTTCAAGAAAAGGATTCAGAGTGTGATGCATTTTTTCAACACACAAACCAAACGGAAGCACTGGAGCAAAAGGATGATGAAGACAGTAGTCCTACAGACTCGGGCTTTGTTATGCAACCAACCCTTTGAAAGTCCCTTCTTTTTCTTCTCCTCCCCTCCCACATTCCTTCCTCTTTTATTGCCTTTAGTAAGAGATTGTAATGTTTTCCATGCATGTGAAAATGTATAAGCATAACATTCTGTTTCTTTGTAATTCTGTCTTCCTTTTAAGTTCTTTCTTATAATGATGCTGGATTAATTTTGACAAGCAAAGAATTTCTTTACCTTTTGTGAATCAGCCTGAGCAGTAGCGATTACTTTATAAGCCACCATATCATTAACACTACACATGCATTTTTCTTAGTTAGGACAGGAGCTCAGGGACAGAAGTTCCTTCAGAACCATTTCAGGTTTCCAAAACTGGAAAGCATTGGGGGAAACTAGCACAGGCCAGAAGATGTTGGTGGGAGGACCCAGACTCAGGCACACTCTGTTGTGGAGATCTGTCATATGGTATGTCGGCTACAGTTAACAGTAACATAGAGTTTACTTAGCTGTTGCTGAGAGTGTAGATTTTAAGTGTCCTCATTACAGAGATAAAAATATGAGGTCAGCTTACAGTGTAAGCCTGTATCAAAATATATTGTACACCATAAATATATGCAGTTTATCATTGACCAATTAAAAAAATTAAAACAGGCCTGCTTCTGGGCACTATAACCTGAGGTTGGCTGAAGCTTATACATTGTAGGAGGCATTTTTTCTTTATTTTATTTTTTTTAATTGCCTTAGTTTGAAACAGGCTGGTATTTGGTGTAGCAGCTAAGATAGTGCTTGGAATGCCCACCTCCTCTATTAGAGTGCCTGGACTTGAGTCCTGACTCTGCTTTTGATTCCAACTTCCTGCTCATGTGAACCTTGGGAGACAGTGGGTACTGGCTCAAATACCTGGGTTCTAATTGTGTTATTATAAAATGATTAAGTTGTGCTGCATAATACAGTTTATTCTTACACAGTTGTTATTGATGATGTAAAATTATTATTACTATATTTATTTTTATTGGAAAGGCAGATTTACAGAGTGGAGATGTGAAGAGAAAGAGCCTCAGTCTGCTGGTTCACTGCCCAAGTGGCCACAATGGCCAGAGTTCACCCATTCCGAAACCAGGAGCCAGGAGCTTCCTCCAAATCTCCCATGCACTACAGGGTCCCAGGGCTTTGGGCTGAAATCTACTGCTTTCTCAGGCCACAAGCAGGGAGCTGGATGGGAAGTGGAGCAGCTGGGACATGAACTGGCACCATTATAGTGTCCCAGTGCATGCAAGGCGAAGTTTTAGCCACTGAGCCATCGTGCCAGGCCCCTAAATATAGTTTTAAAAGCCGATTTGCATATGACAGTTGGAGTTGCCCAAGAGTCAAACAGAACAGCTTCACATCTTTTCAGTGATCCAGAATTCTGTATCTGCTGTCTCCCAGAAACATTTGCTCTGAGTTAATAATCTAGGTATGGTTATTATTAAAGACAAGAAAGTATTTGGAAACTATTTCCTCTACCTTCTCCCCCTGTATCCCCAATGACATTGCCTTCCTTTCTCCATGACTACTTTAATATCGGTATATTTTTCTCTTAGATCTACAATACTATCTATGACATATTTTATTTTTAATATTAAATATATTTATTTTATTATTTTATAATGCATTGCCATGGTCTCTGGGATTTCCCTTCTTCCTTCCCCAAATCCTCACCCCCCTATACATACACTATGTATTTCCCCTATATCATTATAATAGTATAGTTGTTCATAATCAGTCATAAGGCCATTGGTCTGCTATTTAAATGTATCCTGACATTGTGAGCATGGACAATGACAGAGATTCTAGCATCCTATTTCAAGATGTATTTAACAGTTTCATTGGAAGTTCATGTTTGATTGGAAGTAGAGATGCGGACTGCATTGTATCTTCACATCTGGATGTAATAGTCTCTATTATACAGTTATTATTATTTTACATCTCTTTAAATGAAAAGCCATAAAATAAGATCAATGACAGGAAGAAAAAATAGAAAATTAACAACTACGTGAACTTAAATAACATGCTACTGAAGGACCAATGTGTTGCTGAAGAAATGAAAAAAAAAATCAAAAGCCTTCTTGAAGCAAGCGATGCATTATGTGACCTGTGAGTCATTGAAGAAATTAATAAAAACAAACAATTTTTTTAAGTGGCCACACCTGAATAGAATGTACTGTCTTTTCCATTTAAAGTAAACTGTTGACTCAGGATTTGTATTTCTTTCCATCTTCTAGAACATCTAATGAAATTGTCTATGGAAGAACTGGTGGAATTTCTTCAGGAGACTTTGGCAAAGGACTTTTTCTATGAAGATGATTTTGTAATAGAACAGCTTCAAATTTCTATGGCAGAGCTGAAGCGGGCAAAATTGGATCTTCCAGAACCTGGTAAGATAAAAAACAGCTGCCTACACATACTTTATTATATATGTTATAATTAAGATTGGTTAACATAGAACATAAACATTTGACCTGTGACAGCGTAATGTACATCAATGATTTAACAATCATGGCTTCTCCTTCTATTTTTAAGAAAAGAAGCAATCGCAGTAATTAAGTCTGCTTCACCTAATATGCTATCTGCAGTATTCCTACTTAAATTTAGAAATTTTTGACAAACAGTTTGGCTTTTTAAGAAGTCTTCTTGGTGTTCATCTAATTTTATGAAACTCTATGTAGTACTAGAGCAAGTGAAAGCCACATTTTTTTGAGGACATCAGAACTAATGCATATTCTTGCTCACACATGGGAGCTGAAAAAAAAAAGTTGAATCCTTAAGAGGAAGAGAACAGAATAGTGGTCACTGCAGGTAAGAAAGAGTAGGAGGAGGAAAAAAGAGATTGGATATGGAATAGCAAAAAGACAAACAAACAAAAGGTGGATGAGAAGAATATGTTTCAGTGTCCTACAGAATCACAGGGTGAGTATAGTTTACAACATTGTATTATATATTCTATAAAGACTGAAGAGAAGAGTTTGAAGGTTCACAACACAAAGAAATGATAAATGATTAAGGAGATAGAAATGCTAATTATCATGATTTGTGTGTTACATATTACATACATGGAGAATCAAGTTATCACAACTGTACTCTGTAACATTCATAAATATTAAATGTCACGTTTTTTAAAATTATTTTTTTAATAATCTTAGTTGATCAAGGTACAAAGGGTCGGGAGCTACAGGGTTGAAGTGGGTAATACCATTGTTTCCACACTAATATTATCAATTTCCCCTGTATCTGGGGTTAGGGGAGTAACAAAGGGAAAAGCCCTACCCAACCTCCTACCCATCCCAGATCCCCAACAGGAGGTGCGCTCCAAGGGTCCTGCTCAGTTTTGATAGTTCATCAGTTCTGGATTGCTGCCAGTCTCGCAGTTCCAATCGCAATGAAACCTATTCAGAGTCCACTGGCTGACAGTCTCTTCATGGTTGGGGTTCCAAGATCAGCAGTTCAGTTAGAGGGATCTCCAAAGAAACTTCATCTGAGGTGATCCCAGACCTGATTCTTGCGTGAGTTTGCTAGTACAGAATCTAAAACCATCTGTCACACTAATCGGCTTATGCACATGCTGATCGTTGAGATTGCTGGGTCCGTTCGGCTTCCAGCCCTATCTTCCTCGTGAACCAACAGGTGTTATAGTCCAGCTCGAACATACCCAGTTCATACTTGGTCCTCACGCAGACCAGTGGGAGCTGCAGCCTAGTTGGGGCGACTCCCCATAACCCCCACCAGTTCTGCCCCCTACCCTGGTTCCCATGCTTGCCATTATGTACCACAGGCTTGTCCAGTCTGTCCCACATCTCATTTAGCTCTTGCACATGTCAGTGGGCGTTGAAGTCTACTTCAACCCAACCAACTCCACTATACAGCCCATACACCTACTGGCAGGTGCCTTTCTGTCTAGCCACCCCTGCCCCTATCCTGGTTTTTATGATGTCCAGTGAGAGTGGTAACCCAAAAGGGAGGTGCCCATTATTTCCCTTCTAGGCCACTCCCACTCCCAGATTATGCACTCTTCAGGTGGTTCTGCCATTTGGCTTGACAGAATTAGCTCCCAGTGCCAGCCTCTGCTAGCTAATGCTGCGGCTAAGCCCAACCAACCCTCACCCACTCTAATTTTTGCTTGCACCAGTCAGAACAGTCAGCTCACCGTGGCCCTTCCCTTATCTTGCTCACATGAGGCCCACAGATGTTATAGCCCTGCCTTGTCTGGTCTGCTCCCCTGCTGACTCACGCTTTCCAATTGAAGTAGTTGTACAGCAGGGGAGCCCACATTCCCCTGTCGGCTTTGCCTCCTCCTCCTAATTATCACTTGTGCTGTTTGGGCGCTGCAATCACATCTGGTACGGCTCATTTCACCTTGGCATTCCTTAATGTGTACTAGTATGTGTCGCAACCGAACCTGGCTCAACCCACACTCTGTTCTGGTGCTTGGATTCGTCAGCAGGTGATGTGAACTGATTCAGCCTGGTCTGTCCCCAAACCATGCCAAATGTATGCCAGTGGGATAATTTCCATTGCCTGTTTTGGGCTGTTTCCTTCCATGCTTCTTGCGCTTTCTTGCAGTGACTGTGTCCTGCCAGAGAAGTTGTCCAGGTTCCTCCATCAGAACCTCTCCCAATGCCAGATTTTGTGCATACCAGGGGGTCCATAGCCAGCCCTACTCAGTTCACCTCCTGTCCTAGCAGAAACAGTGGCTTTTCCTGACTGGCCTTCAACCAGATTTGGTTCCTACTGTTGGTTGTTTCAGCCCAGCCACGGCTCTTCCATACCCCCATACAACTCACACATGGTTCAGTAAGGGCTGAGACAGCCTATTCCATCCCACATTTCCCCTGGTCCTCCAGAGCACAGATGGTGGGTGTTGGAGTCTGGCCCGGCTTGATTCTTCCAGTCCCAGTCCACACTTGTGCCAAGTAAGATTACAATCGTATCCTGATCAGAACGCAGCCCCCATTCCAGCCCATGCACTCCTTGGTGGGAACCTCAACCCAGCTAGGGTGTCCCCTTAGCTTCCCAATCAGGCCTATTCCCAGCTTTAGATCACATGCAGGCCAGTGATTGCTCTGAGTCAGCTTGGCTTAGCCCCTTAGATGCTGTAGCTTGGTGTCCCTGTCTCACACAGATCAGTATGTGCAAGGACCTACTTGGCATGACCTTTGCTCAAACCTGATTTCTGTTGTTTCTTGTGAGTTAAGGTTTGTTCAGCCCTGTCCATTCTGCCCCCTTCCAGTGGCAGCCTGGCCCACCCCACATCCTGTTTTAGGATGCGCATTCAGGTGCTGCTGCCTTGATCTGCCCTGACTGTTGTGGGCTCCTTTACCTGTGAGTTTTGGCAGGTGGCATGGTCACACCTAGTTTAGTCCTTTGCAACCACAGCTTGTGAGCTAACCAGGGGGACTTGTTTTTCCACAGGGTTGGGCCCACACAACCCCACAGAGTCTACCCCCAGACTAAGTTCTCTCGCATGCTGAATAGTGTCTTGACCCTGCCAAATGTGACCACTCCACCACCCAGTTGGGTAATGGTACCTAACATTGCCAAAGAGGCCCCCATCCATAGCTTTGGTGTGGGCTGGTGTGTGGTAATCAGTGATGTTCTATGCTAACAGCCCATCTCTGGATTTCTACTTGGGCTGATGAATCTGTCTAACCCAAATTATTTTCTGGATACTTCCCTCCAAACCACCAGGTCTCAGTCCCCACGCATGCCTGAAACTTTCATGACCCCATCACTAGGAATCACCCAAAATTCACTTCTCACCTATACTAAAACTGGCCTTAGTCATGGGTGTCCCCAGGCAGCAACTACATATCTTACAAACCCCAGAGTTCACCGCCCAGCGGCCAGTAGGCAAAGCCTGGCACTCTCAGGGTATTGTACAGGAGATATAGAACTTACACAAATTAAAAAATTGAGTTTAAGTGGACAGCAACTGAAGTAGAAATGCGGTAAGTAGAATGAAGAATGGTGGAAAATGAGAGGAAAACATAAGGAAAATACAAGAAGATTGGAACAGGAATTATTTTTAAGAGTTGTTGACTATGGATTTCTCCCCAGTGTAATAACTGGGAGATAAGTTAATTCTGTCATTTTTTCTTTCTTTCTTACATTTTTTCAGTGGATGTTTGTGGAAGAGACTTAGGAAATGGGAAGATTTTAGGTGGGAGATACAGAGTAATGAAAATCAGGGATTTATATCTTGAGAGTGGATCTGACATTCTTTCTCAGTGTACTTATACAATATGTACAGTAGGAAAGCAGAATTCTTTTTCATGGAAAATATATTTTCCCTTTATAAAGTAAAATCCAGATGAGAGGAGGCTAATCAGCAATTGTCTGAGGTTTGTTCAAGGTTATTGATATTCGCTGGAAAACACACTCAGCCTGGCCTGCGCGTTGTGAGAGCTTCACCTTTGTTGAGTGAGGTCAGCCCTCCCAAGATCAGTACATTAATGTCCATTTTCTCCTAATTCTTTCCTGTGGCAGGATATGCATTTGGAATAACAATTCCTTGACTTTTACTACTTGAACATTTATTTTTTAAGTATCTTGGTTTCTTCAGAAGGGCTTAAGGGAAGTTTTAATGAAAAGCACGTATCAAGGAAAAAATATATATACTATAGAGCCTATATAAGTTGCATTTCAAAACTTGTGTGATGGACGGAAAAGATGATGATGATGATGTAGCATCTAATTAACAACTACCATTTGCAGCTTACTATATGACACAACCTATAGGCACTTTCTCATTTTATCCCTACAATTAACTAAGAAAAAGGACTGTACCTGTTTTTCAGGTGAGGAAGCCGAGTATTTGTTTGTTAAGATCTTTTTACTAGGAAGTGAACAAATGGTGGTAGAGAATAGGAAAGGGAATAAAGCAAGAGTAATGGCTGGACAGTACCCAAAAACGTTGGCTAGATGTTGCTGTGATCATATTGATGGTTAAGGTAGAATACAGTAGGTACATTCTGTGTCATACAACAATCTTTCATCTCTGTTTCTACTACTGCAGTATTTACTTTGAGATCCTTTGCCCTTTTTATCTGGAAATTATTTTGCTCTAAATTGTTATGAACTGTATGTAGTTAAATGAACATGGTACAAGAAAATTCAGTCTCATGTTTACTTTTAAAGGCCTACATGAGGGGCTGGCTTTTGATGCAGGCACTGTGCTTAAGACACTACTTGGGATGCACACATCTCATGTCGGAATGCCACACTTTGCTCCCAGCGTGAGCTCCCTGTTAAGGAAGCTTTCTGATAGGCAGTATGTTACGGATTAACTACTTGGATCTCTGCCACTCACTTGGAGACGTTGACCATCCCCAGTGATTGTGGGGATCAGGGAGATTACCAGAAGATGGAAATCTCTGTCTCT